TAGTCCTGTTTTTTGTTGTTTTTTTTGTTTTTTTTTATATCATGAAGTGAGTAATGTATGGAGCAACGTGCGTTAACAAGACTTTCGCACGCAACATTTAAAAGCTGAGTGTTACTGAGAGGGAAAGAGCAAGTGCAAACACATCATGCGAGCCACAGACTGACAGACGGACTAACACACTGTTGGTTTTAGGGTTTTCATGGGATTTGTTGACATTAAGAAAAAGATTATTTCATTATCAATTAATTTTCTGTGGATGGAACAGTCATTGCAGCTTCAAGGTCAACTTCACTTTTGTGGCTTCATCATTAAAGGTTCCATATTTTACACTTGACCTGTGTTTTATTTGAAGTTTTGATCCATAAGAAGACACATTTGTGGTTTTAAAGTGATAGTTCAGGTTATTTGACTTGAGGTTGTGTCAGGTATGTGTCAGTGCATTTCCCGCAGTAGACTGGGATCAGCGCGTTGCCAGTTTAGAGAAGCACTGACCCTGTCCACAGCAGCACATCACTCAGGTTGCCTCTTTGGCAGCGCATTCGAATAACCTGAACTACTATCTCTTTAAACACCAAAAACCATCTCAATGTGGTTTTACATCTCCTCTCTCAGGCTTCTCTCTGAAGCTCTAGTAACAACAGGTCGGTGAGTCAATCACTTTATACAATATGGGACCTTTAAACTACAGACAGTTTAAGCTTCATTTGAATCTAATTGTGGACTATCTAAACAAAACACGTTTAAACAAAACAACAACAAACAAACAAATTCCCTTCTGTCTGTCAGGACAATCCTTAAAAACACTGGCATCCATCTGCTCGAAGCTCCGCTCGTGTGTTTGGCATGAAAACCTCATTATAATGTATAAACACTAAATAATAAGTTGATACTCACTGAGCATCCACTGCATATGATAACCTATCTTCTAGATTTGCTCACAATATTAGAAAAGCCAGTTATTTTTAAATGGATGCTTACTTGTTGAAAAACATGTTTCTTTTGCAGGAACAATCCNGACAATCCTTAAAAACACTGGCATCCATCTGCTCGAAGCTCCGCTCGTGTGTTTGGCATGAAAACCTCATTATAATGTATAAACACTAAATAATAAGTTGATACTCACTGAGCATCCACTGCATATGATAACCTATCTTCTAGATTTGCTCACAATATTAGAAAAGCCAGTTATTTTTAAATGGATGCTTACTTGTTGAAAAACATGTTTCTTTTGCAGGAACAATCCATAAAGTATTTGAGGAGAAACAGCGGGTCACTCTGTCTTGTCCTCGACCTGTGGAGGGTACAGCGACGTGGAGCAGAGAGATTAATGGAAACAAAGTTGACTTACTTACAGCTGATGGTGATAGGGAGATCAGACACAATGACCCAGGCAAAAGATACAGTTCAAAGGCAGATAAATTTAAGTCACTGGTCATTCTCAGAGCTAATGTCTCAGACTCTGGAACATACTTCTGCAACAATGAATCAGCTGCAGAACTGACGGTGATCCCATCAGGTAACATCAGACTTTATCAAAGTTGTTCTGATTTCGTTTTAAAATCACTTGTCTGTGCTTAAAATGTCATTTCCTCAAATATGATAAGAGAAACACAATGCTCCATTTAATGTTGCTTCAACGATCACACTGCAATAGATTAACACGACCTATTACTTTAATATTAGACCTGGAAAAACAGAGGCATGGTTAATGTATCACACGTACTTCCTGTCACTGTGGCCGAGGAGCTTTTGATGTGAGAAGATGATTAGAGAATCGGCTTTACTTTTTGAAGCACTTTTTGTCCATGTAGAGTCACATGTTTAAGGATCCAGTGCAATGAGGTCCTTTTCTCTAGAACCTGATGTAGGGACTGAAATGAGCTGCTTCATACTTTATTTTTCAAAAATGATTTTAATTTACATTTTCTTAGTTTGGTGTCCTGATGACTAGACAACAGCAAGCTACTCGACACATTAAATACTGTATCATCACAGTCAGTTACCAGTTTATTAGGAACACCTAGCTAAAACTAATGCAGTCTAATTCAGCAGTCAATAAATACAATATAAGGTTATAATGTTCAGTTTGTGTGGAAACTGTTTCAGAGAAGTGTTAATTCAACTCTGTGATCATTTTGGAGGCTGCAGTTTGTGGTGCTGTTGAAATGCATTGCATTAGACTGATAGCTGTTCTTATTATTTTGTCCACCCCATTTATATCAGTGACAGTAGACTAAACAACACAAAGACCCCTCTGTGTAACTTGGCCTTCTTTTTAAAGTCTTCAGTCAAGACAGGTGTCAGTAATGCACTGACTTAATCATAAATACATGGTAGAAGTTTATAACTGCACATTGTACAACATGAATCTCGGTATTTTCTCACTCAGTATTTGATCTGTAAAGGAACAATTATACGCAATGCTACAGAGAGGACCAGCATCACTCTGGACTGTCCTCCTGGTGTTGGAGGATCAGACGGTCCAACATGGAGCAGAGAAGTTGCTGGAAAACAAAAAAAAATCAGGTCTCCTGTCTCCACTGTGGACAAGACGTTGACTATAACAAAAGTGCAGCTTCGTGACTCTAGACTGTACTACTGTGATGGAAAACCAGCTGTGTATCTGAGAGTGATCAAAGGTGAGTGATCTGGCAGATCTTTTTTGCTCACCTGGTGAGAGTTAGATGTTCAGACTGATACCTTTACTCATATCTATCCATTAAATAAAATGCAGTTAGCAGCAGGTTAGCTTAGCTTAGCATAAAGACTGGAAACGGGTAGAAACAGCTAGCCTGGCTGGCTCTGTCCAACAGTTAACAAAATCAACCGACCAGCACCTCTGACTGTACTCAGATTGTGAAGCTAATTTTAGAGGTGGTTCTTTTACATAGAAAGGATATGGTTCCTGGAATGCTTTGATAGAAACTGGGATTCTGTGGCATGTAAACACAGATACTACAACCAGGATACTAGAACATGTGTAAATGCACTGTGAGTTGAAAATGAACTTGAATTAGAAGCAAAGCATCTGGTGAGTTCAGAGTTCAGTCATCTTACAGCTAATTGGCTGTTTGAGGTCAATAAACACAAACCATCTCGAGGTCAAATTTCCACAAATGAAACAAGGTGAAAATTCACTTTCATAAAAAGTCGTTGGTACTAGGTAAAGTTACTACAGTTAATCCGGAGCTCCACTGACACTGGATACACACTGGACTGTACATTTTTTAACCCCATCATTTTTAGTCAGCAGCTTTGGACACAGCCAAGTTAGCTGTTTCCCTCTGTTATGCTATGCTATGCTAACCAGCTGCAGTCTGTAGCTTTATATTTGAAATACAGAAATGTGAGCGGTATCAGTCCGAACATCTAACTCACTGCTTGAAAGAGAATACTGTCCCAAACTGTCAAACTAATAAACTACCAACAAGTTTGATGATGAGAGGTGAATGTATTTTTCAGTGTCACAAGTCAAGTGAAAATCTTCCTTTACATGCAAGTGGTATGAGGTGTGATAACACCCCTAACCACAGAAAAGTTGCTCCTATTTTTAAAAGTGCTAAATGATTTTGTGACATCCTGCATTAACTTGGTGAAATATGGCTTTTAACTTTATATTAAAGGTATCCACTATGCATTTATTACAAGTCAAAACTTAAATTCAAGATATATTTAATTATTAATTTAACATGTTTCTAATTGCATTCTCATTTGTAAAAATGAACCACTCACTCTGTGAATACCTGACGTCTGTTTTTTAAATGAGTTTATCGCTGAAAAGCAAATTCTGGATATCTTCAATGAAAGTCTGACTATACCATTTATATATACATATCTATTTTTAATAAAGTTATAAATAATTCATGATAAAAAATTATTTATACAAAGTATGATAACGTACATCTTTAATTCATAACATTTAAAGATATCTTATGACTGTTCAAAACTACAATAGGGATAGATTAAATTTGAGTAATTACTAGTCATTCTAGGACATACAGTACCTACAAAGGAATTACACATATCTTTAAAAAGAATGTTAATTGACTTTTCCTAATTGCATTTTCTTTTTATTAAATTCTTCTTGAATTTAGTTTTTGTTGGTCATAATTTATATGGAGACACCTGGAATTCACATTTCACATAGTTAAAATGTAATTCGATTCTCCACACAACTCAGTGGTTCATTCTGAAGAGTCAGAATGTAATCACCGATATCTGAGTTGGACAGGTCAAAATGGAATTACAGAAGAATCAAAGTTATCACTGGTCATCAATGCATTGTGGAAATTTTAAATGTAAATCCTGTTGATCTTTAAAATCTTTAAAAAGGCCTGTATTCCCTCTACCATAACATTAACACCACCACCAACAACAACAACAGCAGCAACAACAACAACAACAGCAACAACAACAACAACAACAACAACAACAACAACGTCAAATACAACAACAACACCAACAAAACCAACAACACCAACAACACCAACAACAACACCAACAACACCAACACCAACACCAACAACACCAACAACAGCAACAACAAGAACGACAACAACACCAACAACAACAACAACACCAACAACAACAACAACACCAACAACAACAACAACACCAACAACAACAACAACACCAACAACAACAACAACACCAACAACAACAACAACACCAACAACAACAACAACACCAACAACAACAACAACACCAACAACAACAACAACACCAACAACAACAACAACAAAAGCAACAACAACACCAACAACACCAACAACAGCAACAACAAGAACAACAACAGTGACAAGCGAAGGTATGAATACAACAAAGAACCAAAGACAAATTAATACATGTATTTAAAACATTTTATTTGTTCAGAGAGTGTGGTGTCTGTATCTTCCCCTGCTCTCCTGTCATGTGTAAAACATGAAATACATTAGTTGTTATTCTTACGTTTGGTTTCCGTCTGCTCCTGAAGCCCAGAAAACAGCTGCTTTGGTGCTTCAAATAGTCGTCCCCGTGTTCCTCCTCATCATCATCATCATCGTCTGCTACCTTACTTGGAGATGCAGGTGTAAAACAAGAGGTGAATGAAACCTGATCAACAGAACCTGTCATCAAACTTAAAATGACTTACCATACTACTCCATTACTATACTTTACTTTTTCATTTTTAAGTATCTATTTATTTGTAGTCTGTTTTTAAAGAATCCTGTCTGCTTTGTTTCTAAGGTAATACAAAATTGAAACCATCGGCAAAATTATGAAAAAAATTAAGTCAAAAAACAGACATTTAATCACTGGCATCCATCTAAAAATGAATTTAATTTCAAGTCTTTTGTTGTTTTCATTTTTTCCCCTTAATGGGGTGTTTTCACATCCAGATGGCGTCAAAAGCATCTTGTGTGTCATCAGAATTTAAAGCATATAATCAGCGATTATTCAGTGTATTGCTAATATTGTGATGTTTTTATAGAAAATGAAGAAGGGTGCCCAGTCTATGAAGAGATACCGGAGGGATCAGCGTGTCAACCTTCAAATGGTGAGAAATGAGACTTAATTTTTCTACTTCGACTGAGACTGATCTAGGATTGAATTCTACGCTGTTATCAGTGCTTGTATTCATGTGCAGCCCGTGTTGTGACATGTAGATCATTCAACTGTAGCTGTAACTGTTTGTAGTCGTCAGTAAAGAAAGGTACATCACTTGATTGTCATTAGATAGACATCCTGCTAATTGTTACATTCAAACATGATCCATTCCTAGCCATTTATATGGCCTAAACCAAAATGAGAATACTTCATCATCATTTATATTTATACATATGAATGTTATTTTTCATTATTTCATATCTTCATACACAAAAACATTTATATTTTTCTGTTACAAAACAAAAAAGAAGAATCAAAGTTTAGTGCTCCTCTCTCTCGCTTCTTGTTTTGCATGTGTAGGAAGCACCACTGGACCAACAAATACATACTGCATGGTGACGTTTCCAGGTAAATATCAAATATTTTCCCATAACCTTTAGGACAGAGAGACAAACCAAACTGGCCACCTTTTGGTGTTTTGTTTTTTTTGTTTTTGTTTTTTAGCACCATTGCCTAGCCGTTTTAGCTATGCTATTATCTTGGGTAATACCACCTCCAAATAACAGAAAAATGTTACTCTTAAGTATTTTGCTATTGTGACTTAGTAGATTATAATTATAGTTTATTTTCTTGTAATAAAGATACCAATGTTGTAATTTGTAATTAATATCTGTAGCCATATCTAATTAATTGTGGCTAGGCTTTAATCAGAGCTCATTCCTTTTTCTTTTTCACTCGAATCCTGAATCAATGCAATTGTTGACTTCCATAGATTTTCCAGAACAAGTCAAAACAAATACATGAATGCTTAAAGGTTTCCCCACCAAAATATTTTGTTGTGATTTATAGTATTTATTTGTTGAAATGTTAATAGGTGTATCAACCCAGGAAAATGCGATCCCACATACTCACCATCAATGATCTCCTACCGACAGCAAACAAGAACGGTAAGTCCTGTGTTTATTCACTTGTTTGACAGTCAATGCATGAACTGTGCATCTTCAGTAACCAGGTCGAGTCAGGTAAACAAGAAAAGTTGTTTCATGTAATTTGGGTTAAGGGATAAGAAGAACCTGATTTCCTGAGGTTGATTATTATAACGATGTCTATGGCTGATGAATACATGAAACTCAGATTTTTAATTGTCCAAAAGTTTGGCTTATGAAAGCCGAAAAGGCGTCTAAGTCTTTATACTCTGTGCCGTCTGAACTGCACAGAGATGTTTCAATAGACAGACAGACATGGACTGGTGGTGTGGGGGGTGGGGGTGGAGGTGGTGTCATTTCCTGTCAACTTTCCAAAACAGATATACATAAACACCCACCCTCACTTCTCAGTGATTAGTCATTTTCTGTGCTTTGTGGTTTTCTCTTTCTGAGCTTCAATTGCCCTTTCAGAACAAACACTATTAATGGTCACAACGTACACATTGAGGCTTCTTGGCCGCTCTCGACTTCTAACAAGCCATTTGGCATAGCTCTCTAGGCTGCGTCATTATCCGTCCCATGATTGCAATATTTTTTTTCATTTGTTATATTATTTGTGTCACTTTTCTTGTTCAACCAACCAAACTCTAAAACAGTGATGAAATGGTTTGCAGGATCACACTGTCTGATTCTCCAAGGAAGCACTTGCAGCTCTGTCGCTTAACATGGTTTAAAATAAGAGCCCATGCTTCCAAAACAAGGTCCCATGGTTAGGTGGTATGGCATGTGATGACGATGTTTTGCTTTATACAATACTTAATTATACCTGGCAAACGTACAGTGCATGTAAATGCAATGACTTAAGCAGATATTTTTGGTGATATACTTCTGATCACATACAGTAAGACTGTAGTTTCCCTTATTTCTAATGAATTTACTTTTATTTACTTTCTCTTTCTCCAAAGAAACGACGCGTCTAAATACACTGTTCTGAGCAGTACAACCCAGAGTAATCGTTTCTTAGGGAAACCTGTTATAAATCGCCCAAGAAGACTCAGGCTCTACGTTTCGATCCAATCACATTGTGTGAAGGCACCAAACAACTATGAAAATTATCTCAGACTTTGTTTAATCTAAAATATTTCTTCTATTAGTCTCTCTCATAATTATTTGACGTGTCGCTGTACATAGTGTGTAACGTGTATGCGTGCATAGATAACATTTGTGGTGCATTATGTACACTTGGTATATCATTCTCTTGGTGTACACTGTATGTGCTCCATCGCACTATGCACAATGTTAATAGTAATGAGCATATACTGTCCCGCACCATTATATTCAAGAGTGACATTGCCACAGGTTTCATATTATAATTTTTTACATATGTTGCTTTTATTTTTTATGTGCGCAGTCTATACTGTATATGTCAATAGTGGGCAATTCGGCAGTTATTACATTACTACTATGTCACACACATAGTCGTTGCTCCCATCGTGATGGGACAGCCCGCTGCTGTTATATATACTTTTAGGATTGTTTAATATCACATCGTGATCCGCTGCACTCCGATAGATCTAACAACACTCTCACTGATCTCTGCCACACGATGGCGCTCTCGTGAACGCCTTCGTTGAGAGATCAGAGGAGAGACACTATTCTTACTACCAGTCACTGACTAGTCGCACTCCTAGAGAGCTAATCTTTAAATGCGAAGTGGGACAATTAAAGAGTATGCCGGATAGGACTTCTCGTTCTCTTGCTCCTTCGTGCAGCTCGCACCAGAGAGCATGTCCTCCGATCGCAACGTGTGTGGAACGAGGTAGAAAGCAGCTAGACCTATAGGTGTTAACGTCGTGGGCATGTTCAAGACCCCATATAGTGGCTCGAAAATCAATCAATTGGAAATCTGTGTAGGCGTGTATTAACTGAGTGATGTACTGTGTAGGGTTCCTGGTGGACCCTAGTGCTCATTCAAATGTGCTCCATCGAGACAGCAGATCCTCTCCAATGCACACAGTCTAAGAATAAAAATAAACCCAGCTCAAAAATCACTTTCACCAACTTTAGACGTTACAAAATCTTCAAGTGTAGAGGCTCTTTTACATTTATACTTAGGTGATACTATTCTGCACACAACGTGGGGTAAATCTACACACTGGTGAACTGTATAGGAAAAAGAGTACAATGTGTAGAAATAACTCGTTGTTTTAATTAATGCAATATGTGACAAACTATAGAGACTCTTCATTTTTTTCTTCTATTGTTTGTACTTTGTACTTTACTGCCGTATCGACCATTACTCTCTACAAGTCATGTGAGAATAATGGAGTTCTAATGTAATCTTGAGTTTATAAATTTGGTTGGGTCTACTCGCGTATGTGCAACTTAGCTGGTGCCATGGTTGTACAAGATGATGAATATATCCACTGGTTTGTTTTGTGATAAATGCTTGATTTTGATCAATAAGATATGAATAAGCTGGAAATATTCGTACTTCAGTGTCAATCTGCTACGGATGACTAGTGCTTTTTGAAATTCCATTTTTGCTTCTGTGTAAGTTTATTTCATATTTAAGCGTGTTGCTCTGATGTATATATTATAGCCTCAGTATTATATCACTAAGTATTAGATGTGCACAGGTCCATAAGATGCGCCGTTTAAACTATGTGCCACATTTATGTGATGTATATCCTTGTTTCAAGGACTTCCGGGATTTTTCATTAATGAAACCGGAGCTGTGTGACTCAGACGGTTTTTGTTGCGGATGGTCTCAAATCTCCTAACATGAGCGTAGCCTATGGTTTGTTGTGGACAGGGTGTTAATCAGAGCTCACGAGGGCCAAACGAAGTCGTGATATGGTGCATGAGAAAAATTTTCTTCTATGCGTTAGTTTAACTCTAGATCACTCCTTTATAAGTCTCCCTGTAGAGATTCCCTACAGTTCCCAATCAGTCCTCACTCATTTCCTGCTTCATAAGTGTTGTGTTTTATCATTTATATCGCCTGAATCGTCATAAACTACGAGAGTGTGGTGCGCGCACAGTTTTATTCAGCTAAATAGTGCCTAAAAACCTGTATTCAGTTATAGTCAATCTCGTGAGTGGTCCAAATGTGAGAAAGCATAGACTGGATCTGGTGGTTCGTCCTAACATATGTGTGCCAATGCTATCAGCTCTCAGTATGTGATTAGTCTCCAGAAAACAGAGATTAGATGTAGCTGATTATTCTTTTGTGATAGGAGAGAGCATATTTCCTCATAATGTCCAAGACACTGGCATGCGCTCTCGCAGGGTTAGCCTTACCTTTAGCATAAGGACTGGAAGCTCAGAGGTTGGAAACCACTTCAGACGCTCATAGAGAGCGTGTGGCCATTCGAGTCTATCAAATCCTTTCGAGAGATGACCTCGCTTATAAATCCTCGTAAGCACCACCTTAAACCTCGAACACACTCGTTATGCTTATTACGCTGACATGATATTCTGACCAGATGATTATTTGTGCATAATCAGTCAACTATACGACAAATACGATTACCTATATCATAGTTGCCAGTTGGACGTAATTAGAAATTGGTAAAACTCCTTCTTTAAACATAATAAGGAGGGCTACTTTTTTTGTTGTTAGCTCTCTCAACTCTACCTTCTGCTTTTGGAGCCTCTCTTTAAATATTATTGAATACCACTGGGTGTAGTGACTTCCCCTCACGCAAAAGGTAAAAATTGTCTTAGGTCATTATTGCCACATTCCTGGCGTATAAAGTGATGGAAGCCTTTCACATTAAGTTATGATGGAGTGCGACTCAGTGCAGACAGATGAAGAATGAAGACTCAACTCCTCTACTTAGAGCTAGTAATAAACAACTTTCTGGGATTAGAGCAAGAGATAAAATAATTTCTTCCTACAGGACAGCAGCTCATAACGCTGAACTTGACGCTCATAGAGGATCCAGTTAGAGAGACAACTTAAACATGGTCGGGTGATGCAATCTAGTGTCTCTCTATGTACCATCTCGTCCTAGCAATTATATGAAAGAGAATGAATAGAATAGAGAACTCTATCAAGACAGAAGAGTAAGAAAGATGTGGGATTATGTTCTCTTGCTCTGTGCTTCTTATCTCACTTCAACCTACTAGCCGTCCTTCAGTCACTCCACATCAGTAGTTCTCCTCAAGCGAGCTGAGTCTCATCTCAGAAATCTCTTTGCCGTGCACCTTACCAGGGTCTTTTACTTTTTTTTTGTCTTTATTTTTATATTCAGTATTAACTCATGTATACAAACGACAAGATGTATTAAATATATCAATTTTTCTCTTCTTTGCTAGAGAGTAAATTTGGTTGACATTGGACAGTCATGATTGAACCATCACCAGTCCCGTTGACATGTGCACAATCATAAGTGCATTACACCAATATTAATTATAATCGTGAAAGCATACATATCACTAACTCAGGCCTCGGCGTTTAAAAAGAAGATATACATGTA